ATATACTACAATATTAATCTATGAAAGAATAAGGAGAATTTCAATTCCGAGATACACTTCTGTATTGACGGATGGATTCCTTAACATCGTCAGGTTAAGGCAATCAAAGTATAATATACAGGGCCAGGTTAATGGCACTGTACTATTGTTTGCTCGTGTACTGTACACAACAGTACACAGTACAGTGTGTTTGCTTTACATCTTGCAACATGCCCAAGCAGCACTGCCATTACACAGCCTGTCCTGTGCACTCAATCACAGATATTCATATCACAATCCAGGCACCAGGGCTTAGTATTTGAGGTGAATTAAATCTGTATTACAGGAGAGAATTTATTTCAATCATTAACTTCATGTTAAAAAAAAATCTGCTATATATAAAAAGTAAAATACACGTTTAATAAGAGGAAAAAATCGTAATTTCAACCTACCTGTTCAAGGTTACTCTGGTGAAGGAAAGGAAGGAGGAGGCTGACAAGTACTGAATTCTGACTCTTTTCTTGTATAAACTTGCTGATTCTATGTGATGAGACAGAGCAGTTTACTATTTTTATATAGCCATGAGATTGAGTATTTTGAGAGACCACTCATAGAAAAGCATAGAAAAGCCACCACGTTTACTACAGGCATCTACAGCTCAAAACAAATGAACAAAGAAACAACTCCCCCGCCTTAAAAAGCACAAGTTCCTTAAAACCAGGGGGAAGGACAGATCTCTATGCGGGCAGCAAGGTGGGAAATGGACCTACAGAATTGTTACTTCTCAAATGCGAGTCGAGTTTGAAATGTCCTGCCACCTCACTGGGGCTGCATTTGCCTTCACATAAGTGATACCAAGAGGTACCTCATCCAAAAAAATGAAAACATAATGTGTGTGTTGGTTTGGAGAACCATATGCTTAATAATTTCTAATTTAAAAAAAAAGGGAGGGAAACCCTTTGTGGCTACTCAAGCTAGTTCCTATAAAAGATTTGAATAGGATACTCAGAAACAAGTTAGTTAATCCCTGTCCTGAGCACAGCTTGATGCACAGCTGTGCACACTCCTTTGAAGCTCAAGTCCAGTGCCTCCCTTGAACATGCCTACAGCCTGACTATTTGGCTGCATCCTTTCCTGCCCCAAGAAGTAATGCCTTTAAACACCACTGACAGATATAGTCAGGGTTAATTTCTGAAAGCTTTCCCCTTCAGACAATAGCAATTTGCTAGGGGAATGACAGATCTAAGGACTCAGAACTGCTTTGAATTTAAATATAAAAACATTTCTAATCTGCAAGCCATTATAAAGACCCTCCTTCCCAATCTTTAACYGTTTTGAGCTCTAAAGAATCACTTACTTGGAAAGTATATTCAGCTCTTTACTGACTTGGGCTCTAAACTTCTTCTTTTTCACCTTCTCCATGTTTAACATTGTCTTGCTGAAGTACTGAAGTATGGCAGGAACATGAGGCAGAACCAGGCGGCAACCCAGGCTGAGGCTCTCTGTAAAGGGACAGGAGAAGCAGCAAGGTGAGCTCCCAGCAACGGGAGGGACATCCAGCTCCACACAGAGGGGAAAAATGCTGGCAAATAAGATTTCATTGGCAGAAGAAAAACAAAAAGAAAATTGTGGCAGCTACGAATGTGCAAGGCTATTGGGAACAGGCACCACAGAGGCTGAGAGCAAGYGAATGTGTCTGTGTGAGGTACAGAATAATGTTTTCTCTCACATTTCAGTCACAGCCCCAGTAAGTGGAAGATTATCCAAAAGGCACCAAGAAGCTTCCTCTGAGGCAGTAACTGTGTCCCAAAACAGCCTGAGCACCTGTAGATGTGGTTTTCTTTACGCTACCACTGATCTCCTGTGCAAATCCAAGCTGCTAGGACAAGGCACAGGGATAAATGCTCCCCTTTCCATTGTCTTTGAGCATCGCACAAAGCCCTACATAGCTGCAGGACATCAATCACCTGCGAGCACAGGGTAAAACCAAAGCGGTTTTTTTCAACCATAATGATTCTAGGATATATGACCACATGCATTTGGTTTTGATTAAAAAAAAAAAAAAAAAACCTTTATAAAACTTGATGTCAGGCTCAGTCCCAAACCATGAACCATTACATTAAGTTATATCGGTTACGAGTTTAACAATGCTGTGAGAGGCCAACACTACAACCCTTCCCCCCTCACAGGGTGTTACTCCATGCTCAGGATTCTGACACTCTAACGTGCATCATGCATGTCATGAAAGCAGCATGACACGCAGTTCAGGAGCAAGCCGAGACAAATTTGTACAGTGATTTTTTTCCATGTCTCTTTCTCCAGTAGTCTCATCAAAAGCAAAGACCTCTCCATTCAAAGCACCCAAGGGACCCTTCATGACTCTTCTCCTAACATACCTTCTGCCGTGGCACCAGTGCCCACAACAACACAGTCGGTCACAGTGACACTGCAGACCTGCTCCGTGGCTTCAAAATCTGGGCTGTTGAGAAGGTTCTCAGCTATGTCCATCACAAGGTTGGCCGTCGCCTCGGACAGGTTCTTGGCTGAGAGCACAGCAAAAACATTTGACAGAATGTCGCATTCCGGGTGACCCGGCTTCTGCTTGGCCAGCAAGGGAAAATATCTGACAGAAAGATTAGAAAAACAGTGGGCTGAAATGTGAATTTAAGTTACAAGCTTTTTGTGTGTGAAAAAAAAAAAAAATACATAAAACCAAAATGATTGTCTTCTACTTCAGGTAGAAGAAAAAACAAAAATGCAAATCTCAGAACCACAGTGTCATGAGAAATAGGCTCAAAGAAGGTAATCTAGTCCCTTCTTGTACTTCAAAACAGCATCATGTGGACCCAAACCCTTTGACCTTGCCTGYCCAAGTCTCCTGTTACGACCCAATACCATTTTTTACATAAGTTTGTGTATGAATTCTTTAACCCTACCAGTGACAGGTCTTAAATACTTGGTACCCTGACAATGAGGAGCAATGGGTTGGTGGAAGAGATAATAACCTCGCAAGACAGAGAGACAGAACAACTCCCAGTGCCTGTATCAAAAAAGCTCTATGAATTTCAGTCTGAATCTGTCACAAAATCTGTGCTACACTTGCCCACATTCTTTCATAAAAATGAAAGAACAGAAATAAAAAAGAACATGAATTCTGAACACCTCAAGATTTTATTTAAAAGCTACTGGCTAAGACACAAACATCTTATAAAAAGTCAGATCTCCCTCTCACTCCTGAGCTGGGTATGGACTACATATCTGTTTTGTTGTTCATACACAGGAAAAACAACTACTAAGAAAAGAATAATTGGCATAAACGAGAAAGCTTCACAACTGCATCTAGACTGCTATTAGAAGAGCATTAGTACGGTTGAAAAAAAAAAAAAAAAAGACACAATCATCCATAATTTGCTACAATCCTCTATAGCCTCTTTTCACTGAATTTTGTGAACCCAGAGAAGTAGAGCGTGTGTGTGTGTGTGTGTGTGTGTGTGTGTGTGTGAAGAACGTTTACCTGGGATTCTTACTCCAAGTGTGAATGAGTTTGAGCAGAAAAGTAGGAGAATATTGACTCTCTGAAGCCAACCTGCAGACCTAAAAGAAAGAAAAATCAGACATCAGTGCAGCACATGCAGGTAAAGTCGCTTAAAAATATCAACTCTAAGAAAGATCCCACTACAAACTAGAGACACACACGTCTCATGTTTCTTCCACCAGAAACACTCGCTGTTGAGTCCAGTCTGTGTTAAGTGCTTTTCTGACTCAAAGCCACAGAACTGCCTTCTTTGAAGCAATTTGCACTGCTTTCCACACCCAGCACTGTGGTCTCCAAACACTGGGCCAGTGGAAGGCTATAAAGAATCCAAACCATGAAGATACAAGTCCCTGGGGCTCAGCCCAGTGAAATACGGAGCCATTACACACTGCCTGAAGCTGTTTATCTGCTCTTCAGCTACATGTCACATACTCCTGTTGGGAGTATGAGCTGAGAAATGGGGTAGGAATAAATGAACAGTGTCTAGAGATGCAGAGCTGGGGCTTCACACACTGCAGAGCAGAGCAGCTGTTCCTGAAGCTCTCTGACATTATTTACAGGTTCTTCTGCTACAAGGCTCTTGGCTGTTTGGATATCTGTGACTTTATTATGCCAGGATTCATCAGACATGCACCAACAACAAATGAGAGCAGGAGGATTCTCCATGGCACACATTACAACCAAACTAGCTTGGAACAAGACAAAATGCATTACCTGAGGCCATACCACTGCATGGAAAACTGCATCGATCTCTTCCACACTGAAGCTGTAGGTCTCATAATCAGAAAAAAAGTCAACCACAAGCTTGAGTCCAAGACGTCTCAAATTCTTGAGAGGATTAATCAACCTAGGTTGGACCTGTACACAAACAAACAGCAAGATGTTAACAAAACCATACTGCTAGTTATTTGCTCTGACATTACACACTGTATTTCACTGTCCACACATCTCTGCTTAAAATATTACAACACTGTTCTGTTTTCTCCTGTAACTTGTTCACAGCAGTGGTCTCTGGGTGTCTCACAGTTGATCCAGATGTTTCTAAACTGGGCCTGCTCCTGAACCAAGGCAGTCATACAGGACTCTCTCAACTCATGAAAGTCCAAGCCGAGCAGCTTGAAGTAGCACCCATTCTCTGGACAAAGTGCAGAAGGTTGCCAGTCACCCTTCCAGCCCTGACATTCAGATAATGTTGACTTACTCAGGACACAACCTCAACCAGCTCTCTAAAGTGAAGTTGTGCTTTGCACATTGAAATCTATTAGGAAGAAAAGAATTCAAGAGATGGGGAAAAAGAGGAGGAAGAAAGGCAGCAAGGATGTGAGAAACCTTCCTGACGAGTCTGACATTTGGTTAAAGGAGGGCTCTACCTGCATCCACTAAGCGATTATGTTTCACAGCCTTCCTTGGGGACAACATTTAAGCGAGAGCAGCACAGCCACACYGCTAAYAATGACGTTATATATGCCCTGCTGCAATCCCACTCTTCTCCCAGAGGACAGCCTATTATCACTTGAATAACCTATTTCTACACTGTGCAGTGCAGCTCACAGCACCAACGCATGAGCTACCTCCAAGGACAGCTACACAGCAYGGGCAGGACTCCAGCCTCCGAAACCAGAGCCGTGTCAGAGCAAAGAGCACGGCCCAAGACCGAGGCTGTCTCAAGATTTYTCTTACACATCATGATCCACGACACAGAACAAAGAGGCAGTAACTCTTACTTTGTGAAATGGTTTTGGTTTCAAAGCCTCTTTAAAAGATACAGTATTGTTGTATTCCATGTGCTTATTTCTGAAGAGAACATCCCTGACCATGCAATACACTGCTATGCTGCCCCTGCACCCAAAATCACATCGAGAGGAGGTGGKAGCAAAGGAATCAACCACGCTCTGGCCTAGGCACCCCCGAGCTGTGTGACACGGGTACAAGGGACRTGCAAGCAGCTTCATGCAGCGAAGGAGCTGCATGGAAGGCCAAACATCTGCTGCTGTCTGCACACACAAAACACACCGGGCAGCTGTTGTTAACGATGACCCCGGGTGAAATAATTCAGGGTCTTGCACAGTTCACTGTCATAAGAGCAGCCCTCTGCGATCAGTTCTTTGAGAGGACAGACATGCTCCATACTGAATGGGATCATCAGGACACAGGAAAAGAATAACTTCTCTCAGAACTGTTAAAGTAGATGTTCAACTCCCCAGGCAGTACTAGGCYGTAATAAATTACTCTCAAACCCCAGGAATGTCTTGTAATAATTAGCCAAGATAAACAGATTTCTCACACTCTTCCTTGAACTTTTAACATCTCATGGGCTAATGGAGTGTTAAATTAAGCTCAGACAAATGACAGATTGCCACTCCACAAGTTACACAGTGATGGCAGGATTATTGCAGTAACCCATGCAAAAAGTGACTATCCCACACAATGAATGAAGTACCTCTTAAAACCCCTCCTCCCCAGTATACAACCTGCAGACACATGCAACCTATTGATGAAGCCTGACTATGGGATACTGCTGTCCTAAAAACTGCCCAACCCCATCCTATCAAAGACAGTTACAAGGTTGTGTGCAGCCTGCAAACAACCACACAGCCTTGGATGCTGGCTGACCGAAGGAGCCTGCTTTGTTTGACAGATTGTTTTAAAGACAAGCTGTAACTTTAAATGCTACCAGACAGGTCCTGTCAGGAACCTACACACGTGATGATAAAACATTATTTGACTAACRCCAGTCTATCGAGTCAGTCTATCATCACATCCTTCCTTTAAACACRGCAGTGATGACAACTGTGCAGCTTGCTTGTCTCTCACCTAACCCCCGAGCAGGCTCCGTTTAGGATCCGACCCAAGCTCTCCTGTTCCTGTTTGAATTGAAACCTGGAAAAAGCACAACTTTTAGAAAACAAAAAGGCCTGGCTCAATGACACAGTTTCAAAGTAACAGGTAACAGACCCCCTGAGCTATGTGAGCCTCCATAAGGTGCTGCAGTGGCTACAAGGAAGAAGGAACTGGCTGGCAATTGCTGCAGGAAGAGCCACAGGCCCCAGACAGGACAGTGAGCCCTGCAGCTGCATCCTGCTAGCACAGGTAAGGGAGGGAGTCCTGGCATGGGGATGCACCTGTGGCCCTTCTTTGGCCACAGGCAATGTTTAACAGCACAGTTTCCCCTCTTCACCCTATCTGCACGTACAGCCACAGTGCAGAAGAGAAGAAACACTCCCAGTGCCCTGAATTGTGTCAGCAGAGAAGCAGGACTGTCCTGGTGCAGAGCAGAACAGGCTCCTAGAGTGCTGGGAGCCCGGCTGGCAGGCAGCTTCTCCCTGYGTCCCAAGACAGAAGGAGATGGTAGGGACAAGGGTAGGGGCAACYGTGATCCACAGCACTGGAGTCCAGCACTAATTACAGTCAACACCCAGAAAACAAGTTTTACTCTGAAGCTTTCAGATAAACAATTTAAAAGACTGGAGGGGAAGGAGAAGATTTTATTATCCCTGCAGCCAACAAATTACATATTTAAAGCTATCTTCAACTTCTAGCCATAAGATCATGTTAAACCCTTAAGGCAGACCACTTACCCTTTCCTCACAACCACTGCTCTACACAAAATAAAAGCTCTTTTCCAGAGCAGACAGGAAGCAATACCAAAAGTCACCTCCAACTAGGTCTTCAGTAAATCAAATAGCAAATCAGTTYAAAGCAGTTTTTTTCTAAACCCACTGACTGCACTTTCAGACCTTTAAAGGTTAAAAACAAAGGTTAGCTAAATCAATGAAGCTCTGCACATGTATACGCAAGCCAGGAGGGAAAGGAATTTAGGTATTTGTCTGCACATATCTAGACATACATGTGTCATATATTGTACCTTCTCTCTCTGTTGGAGGATGCAGGCTATCACACCTGTCATACAGAGCAGAATCTGCAGAATTTCAGGCAGGTACTGACTGATCAAATGTCCCATGTTCTTCAGCACAACTTCGAGGCCATTGAGGAGGCTGTGCTGGCGACCAAGGGGCAGCACCTTGGCTAAGTCCAGCTCTGCCATACTCCGGAGCACAGCGGCCTGGCAAGGTCCTGAGGACAGGAAAGAGACAYTGAGTTACCTACAGAGTACCATGAGGAGAGGCAGCACACGAAATACCTCAGCAAAAAACAGTAACACCAGCTCCTGACACCCAGCTTCTTAAATAAAAGACAGCTCCAAGTCTCCACGAGCCTGTGATCCTGGCCACGCGCTACTGCAGTATCGGGGCACTTCACAGCCTCTGTTTCCTCTCACACACAAGCAGCTTTCTGCTCTGCAGCCCGTCAGGTAGCGAGGGTAGCTCAAACCCTTGGGTGGTTGGGATACAGCCTGGCCCACAGTGTCAAACACGGGAGCTCGTTCCCTGGCCTGCTACCTCTTACTTGCATGCCTRTGAGATGTCATTCAGTCTTCCTAAACTCTGCCTGTAAAGCAGAGTCATCACGCTTGGCATGTTCCAAGCAGGGAAAGGCCTGGGAGAAGTCCAGTCCCTATCAGGACTTGTTACTGTCAGGACAGAGCTTGCTGTCATCTTTTCCTCACTCCAAGGCATTGTTAAGAGTCAAACTGCAGTATATTACAGTACTAAGTATCTTCATGCTCCCATAGGTCGGGAAGTAGCACAACCCGTGTATGTACCATCACTGAACTGCTTCACAGCTTCAAAGAGCAGGTCCAGGAACATCCGTATCTCTTCTGTCTGGGAGCCAGCAAGAAACCGCAGAACGATGCCCATACGAACGCTCGCAGAAGACTTGCCCTGGGTTTTGCTGCCTGTTTTATTTCTCATCCTGCCATAGAGAATTCTTCAAGAACCAAAAAAAGTGTCAGTTTTCAGCAAGCCATCTGCTTTCCAGCTTCCTGCTCTTCAGAGAAGCTTGAAATGGTTTATAAACTTTGCCTGATGGAAYGACCTGGGTGGGAGTCTCCCTCTCATGGTCTCCTCTGAATTTTACTGAATGGTGCCCAGTAACATCACAACRAAGTATCAGCTTCTGGGCCCACTACAGAAGCCTTGTTGAAGGCTTTAGGTCTAAATTAAGAGTTCCTCCAGGGTAGCCTGAGGGCAGTTACTGCTAAAGCAGCAATCTGCATGGTAACTTCCATTACTATTTCTTAATTGAAACAAATGACAGTAGCCTAGGGAATGAAATGCCTCAGTTCTCTGCAAACCTTAAGAAAAAACAGCATTGGCCAAAAAGTTGTTTTTGAAGAAAATACGATTTGCACAGCACATACAGCTAATATGAAAACCACACAACCTAAGCCTTTACAAACTAAGAGGTCAAACTATACCACAAACCATAACTTCATCTTGATTATTTAAAATAAGAAGCAGCAGCACAGCTGCTCATGGCAGTTTTACATGCAACATGTTCCCAGAAATTCATGATTCACCTCATAAGAACAGGGATGAGAGCTGGTCGATGCTCCATTTTTACTACTGAGTTCTCCTCAGAAATGCTGAAATGGACAATTTCTTCTTTAAAAGTCTTGTCCTCCAGCAGCCTTTGCAAGTTCTCCCTGAAAGTAATAAATGTAGAGGCTTTATTCAGAAGCTGGGAAGAAGGTATTATGAAAATAAACTCCCCCACACATACACTTCAACCTATTTACCTATCCACCCACCTAACTATCAATAAACTTACTATACACTTATTCAGTACTATATCCTCATGCTTTTATTAAAGCAACAACAAAACAGAAAAGCAGGAAGTTCAAGTTAATTTTGTAGACACGGACCTTCTGGACACATTCTGAAAAGATTATTCAACTGCAAGCTACAATTTCATATCATTATCATCACTAGTGGTTATGAATCATCGCTACAAAAGCTCTGTTTGAAAATGATGCCACAACTAAGCACATACTATTCTGGGGCAGAATGAAGCTCTGCTTTTTTCTTGTAACCCGTGAGGTGACGCCGATCAATCTGAAGACATTACGTCCAATTTTAGACTGGAAAGATGCAGCATGATAAGATCAGAACTTATAAATACTTGTTCAGGAAGTGCAGGCATGGCTCTTTCCCAGATTTTGTTATGGGACCTTCACTGATGCTAAAACAGCGTAAAAGGTCTTACCTGTACGGCAGCAGATGAGGATGCTTGTATGTCATAATGCAGTCCAGAGCAATTCTTTGCACGCTCTGATCTTGGTGGGAGAGTAACTGGAGATGACAACAAAAAAGGGAAATGAAGCCCTAGCTTGAAGACAGAAATGCTACAGGCAAACAACCCAAAGGCTCTGAACTGAAGCACATTTTGGACTAGTTTAACAAATCAAAAACAGTCATATTCTTGGCAATTCCTTCCAAGGGAAATACCCTGAAAAGGGATCTTAATGAACTGAATATTCTTCAAGAAGAAATTCTCATTTTCTTATGACTTTGATACAGAGTGCGATTCCTCACAACCCATTTCTTCTCAGATTTGTTTTCCTGCCTCCCTTGCTTAAAATTAGAAGAGATTTGGGGGGCATTATCTAGGCTCTGCTCTTTAATCCTTGTTCTCTGCCTTTTCATTTGATGTCTGTTCATTTTCAGTTTTTATTTTGTTGATACTGGTGGCTTTCACCCTAYGTATCTCCYGGTAAAGGACTGGTCTCATTAACCACCAAAACAAACACACACAAAAGAAAAACRGAGAAAGAAAAAGACAGAAATAGGYTTCCTCTCTTTTCCAGCAGAAAGTAAGCTGTTTTCGTAACGATGGCCATGCCTACATTTACATTCCCCAACACAATCAGTGGTAGACAGGATAAAGACCATAAATTTTCAAGCTTTTCCTCAAGTCACTGTCAGAAAGACTGAAAGGCGCAGAAAAAATGTGGAGAAAAAACAACGCAAAATGATCAGCTGTTCACACTGACCACACTCTGTGCACATTCAACACTAAGACGAGCACAAATCACTTCAGAGCCCCGACTTTAGGCACAAATCCCCCTGCAGATCCCACATTGCAAGTGGAAGAGGCTCCCTCCACAACCACCCATCTCCACCTGCCAAAGCAGCAGCTACCACTGGCGATTCAGATCCATTCACATGAGCTGCTCCTTTGCTAAGGGGGCTCATTTCAGCTGAAGGTTGAAGGCAGCACTCTCAAGGACAGCTGCTTTTCCAGCTAATATGGCTGGGACCAGAAGACAACAAGTTTCTGCAGGCTCAGGGGCTGTATTCAACTAAGAAAAGGTTCATTTGTTATTGTTAATTTTCAAAGCTAGTAAATAACATCACCTGGGTGTATAATGCATTTAACTTCTGCTCCAAGTACAAGGCACGGGGATTTGAAAACTTGGAGAATACCTGCAAGTGGGCTATCAGCTGCCTGTAAAAGAGGAAAAAAAGGTAAAAATATCTAAAATGGGTAAAACAAAAAATCCTAAATTACCATTACAGACAAGAAACTTTAATAAAGTTGATTAAAGAGAAAATTGAAACAAGGATCTCCAGGTTTCTATTTTGGAGTCACAGAAACACGACGTCCTTTTTCCCACTCCTAACCAGCTCCTTCCACTTCAGCACCCAGAGAAGGCCCGGTCTCCCCCAGCGCTGGCTGGGCCCAGCCTGGGAGGCAGAGCCACGCTGACAGACATGTACCAGGCTCTGCCAGGCTGAGCCTGGCGGGGCTCCTGGGAGCCCCCGGGATCCCTCCCATGCTGCACGGATGCCTCTGCGTGAAGGGAGGTCACCTCCCTTCTCCCGTAAGTTCTGCCGTCTCCCGTAAATCTTGCCCACCTTCCTCACTGCTACCAGGACCTAAAGATGTGGGCTTAAACATTTGGGACAGCTCGAGGGAGCTGCAGGGAAACAAACATCTCKTACTGTACGAGCCAGAATCTGGGAACAAAATGAAACACCTGAAAACAGGCCAGGGTTATGACACTACAGGCTATAGCTAAAATACCTGCTATGTTCCAACGTGTAAGCTGACATTTTAAAGTTTTATGTTATTCCAGCAGGGTAAAGAGACTCTGATTAAAAAGTCATAGAGAATTCATAGCAAGAGCAACTTTCAACATATATCCAATACTGCAGAGCAAAAGCATTACAGAAGCATGTGGCTTCAGGCAAAACACGACCAGTGACAACATCAAAACATAACAAGCATTGTCCATAACAAAAAGATTAGGATCAAGATTTAAGAAATAGGTTACGACTGAATACCAATACTTAACTATCCATGAATTAAGGGACCAGCAAACACATGCAAAGAACTCAGGGTAACGGGGATACAACTCTGTGCCCTTCAGAAACTTCAAAAGGGCTTCAGAATGCCACATACTTTTTGCTTAACGTAATASCAAACTGCAGACTATCACGTAGCAGGTAATTAGATAAAGCTTGAAAAGCCCAGCTTGGGCCTCGGGATGCTTGGTGCTGCACYGGCAGAGTTCAGGACTCTAATCTGCCTGTAAAATTCCACTGATGAATATAAGAAGAAAAAGGAATATACAGAAACGTGGCTTTTGTCTCAACATGAGCTACCGAACCTGCCTATTCCTAAAAACACTGAGGAGGGAAAAATTAAAATGCTTACTTGGCAGCAGCTCTTCTAGTTTTCTTTTTTGGTAACCCTACAGCGACTGGTTCCCCTTCTTCCTTTTCTTCTTCCTCCTCCTCCATAGTAACATCATTCACATCTTCACTGGGAACTTCTGCTCCTACTGCACTGCTATTTTTCTTTCTAAGATCCTGAGTTGGAGCCACTAATGAATCAGCTGGGTAGTACTCATTTCTGCATACAAGCAAAACAAAATGCAAGGAATTAAGMAGCACTTTTCAGGGCAAGAACAACTAGAAACTCCACAACCCTACAGTCTGGTTACCGATGTCATTGTATCTTGAGACGCTAGATGGCCAAAGATTCCCGAAAGCCACATTGCTAGAATTAAAATCATAATTAGCATATAGCAAGCAGAGGGGAAAAAAAAAATCCACACACAGAGTTAGTATACTTGGAAATAACCCAAATCTTCACTACTTCCCAGGAGGAAGTGCATCAGACTCTAACAAAAACAGTATTCTCCCACTTCTCACTTTTGTGACTCCAAATTAAGATGTGTTATTGTTTTAGAAAACAGACATTTGATTTCCACTGAAATCACTCCTTAATGCAGTAATGAGGCTGTGACTGTGGCAGGTTAGCAAATGAGAGACTGAACAGCTGAAACACAACCACCAGCTTCRTTTCAGTCTGCTTTCCTGAGACATCTCTATGACATCATCCACATTTCAATCAAGAGGGAAAGATTATCTTAGTTGGAAATAGACATCAKATCAGGAATGGAGTCAGAAAACAAGCCTATAAAGAGCTAGCTATGGTCCGAAAGCTCAGCAACACTGGAATCAGTTGAAAGCAAAGTGTCATCCGACCTGACAAACATTACTTACCTAATAAATCTCAAAAGCAGTGGGGAAAGTTCTCTTGATCTTGGTTCCACCCTGTCGGGAAACTTGGCYAGTGCTTTCCAAAGCAGAAAGCGGAAATTCGTGTGGTCCAGCCGCTCGCTGCAGTCTGTCCTAACCTGCAGCTCCTCCAGGAACACAGTCCCCACTTCTCCTGGTATCCTCTCCTTTTCCACTTCAGCACTGCTTCCCTCCTCTTCATCTAGCTCATTTTGCAGCTCCATTTCTGTAGAAGAAATCATACGAAGAAAATCCCTCAAGGGTGTTCCAGATGGTCAGTAGGAAAGAACGAGCCCCCCACCCAGGATGGAAGCAGTACTTTCTGATGCCAAGCACCCATTTGCACAACTGTATTTAACATTGATGTGAAAAATCCACATTGTTTAGAAGGTATTCTTGGATGTCTCACAGCCCTGAGTCACTTTTATTTAGCTTTCTCCCAAATAATGAATAGCTGTGTGCTCATGGCCTTACAATGAAATCACAGATTCCATGAATACATAGGTAAACCTCAAGAGCGTGCCAAAGGCAAGTTGTTTGCAAAGGATACACGGGGAAGGAAGACAATCTGCCCCTTTTCCACAGACATCTCCATGACCCCTGATCAGCATGCGCAGCTTTAGCCTAAGTAGGGAGAGCTTCCTGCAACCTGCAACTCCCTCCTGTAATGCAGAGGCCACTTGTGTCTACTTCTTGGTCTTTGGGACTCCTAATCCTCTCCACTCCGGTCCTGGAGATGATGTTGGCATTCGGAACTCTAGTTCTGAATCTTTGCCAGAAAGTGTAAATTTGGGACACCATAATGTTTAGATTTAGCTGGGTTAGGGTCTACATAGCACCTAGGAGCTGTGACTTACCAGCATAAACAGCAGCCCTCTCCAAATGTTCATAGAAGACCTTCCAGAACTGTTTGTTCTCCATTTCATTTGCATGAGAACTAACAAAATACAAGACAGCATGGAAGTTAAAAGGAGGGAAAAAAAAAAAAGCCCCATGCATCTAGTTCTTTATTAGGCAAGCAAAGAACACAATCACAGGCATTGATTATTGCTTTTATGAGAGTGCCTCAAGACAGGACATTTGCAGAGCACAGCTGTAGCACTTCTTTGCCTTTATTTATGGATCCCAAATGTCAATTGCTATTAAAATAATCCATTTGTAACCAATAACTTTAAATAAACTTTAACTGAGTAAAAAGCTTTCAACTGACTTTTATACAATAACATCATAGAGAACCAAAGGAAGAATTAGTGTGGATATATCTTTTGAAGAGCTGGTTTAACACTTTTTGTTAATTAAAGTCTGATGGGGAAAATCTTGTCTTGTTTTTAAATCATACAAGTGAAAAAAAAGAACAAGTAGATAAAGTCACACTGAGGGCAGAGACACCAACTTCTGTACAAGCTCAGTGGGCACCATGTTAAGCCTTCCCTTGCATTTAGTAGGAATCAGAGGCTTCCCAAAAAGGTTAAAAAAATTAAGAGACAGGGTAACTTAGAGGTAATTCTTGCTCATTTTGCAGTTTTAAAACATGAAAGCTTGCAAAAACCTGATGCTATTTAACTGTATTTGTCACCAGTTCACCTTAATAGACAAAAACCCAGAAATTAAGCTAAAAAGTAGGAGTCCATTTGGACTGTGATTGACAAACTGCATCCATTTGGAAACAGTTCATATAAACATGAATAGTGAATATGAACTGTGAATGAAACTTTTTTTATTGTAATTTTGGTTTAAGAGAACAAAGGAAGGAATTATTAGAAAGCCACTTGCTGCAGTAACTAACAGCATATACTCACGTTATGAGTTCAATTACAGGATCCCAGAGAGGACTGAAATTAATATAAAGCATTCCCAGTAAATACCGAAGAGGCACCTAGAATGACAAAAACATAATCTTGTTGAGGTGTTAAAAATCATAGTTGAAAACAATTAACCTCCTCTGTCTGGTGAAAGAAGATACTTGATCAAATAAATTCTCAGRAATAATTCTAATAATTAAGCCACACACACCATCACATCCTTTATCTCTTGACTTCACGGAGAGAACCTGTAGAGTTCATTCACTCCATGTGTTGTTCAGATCTAGTCACCATACCTAAGTACCACTAATGTACAAGAAGAGGCCAACAGGTTATCAGGGTTACCTGCCTCCCTTCTGAAATTCACGGCCACCATAACCACTTTACGGAGCTCAAAAAAGGAATCTCTGCCCCGAGGAGCCTTCATTGCCCTACGCTTAGAAGCATGTCCTCCAGACTGGCTCCCTGTTGATATGTTGATCAGCAGGGCTGATTCTGAACCCCTGCTAACAGGAGCTTGCAAGTCACGGTGAAAAAGTGATAGAGGTAGAGCAGCAGCCATAAGAATAATATTCCTCATCACTCCAACAAAATCTAAGAACACTTAACTAGAAAGAAATTKACTCCTCCAACATCTAGAGGGTAAAGGCCCTAGCTCTGCAGTAAAAGAAATTCAAGGGCCACAGGCAGATAGGACCATCCTGCAGCGACATCCAGCAGGCCAGGTGTTCTCATGGCTGCTGGGAGTCCTTCCAACACTCACCAGTGCTGAGGGTATGACAAGATCACAGCCTTAAAGCTGCTCAGGAGACACTTCTCCCTGGAACCATTTACCTTCCCCTTCACCACATCAAAACTCAACTGCAGGCCACTCATCTATACGTCACAGCTGTTGTTCTTGTAAATGGCCAGGAGAATGCAGTAGGCCCAAAGACAACAGGAACTGCGATGTTAAGTAATATGAAACTTTTCTAACACCTGACCTGGGAGTTAGAGTTTGGTGAACTCTTGTTAGAAACTATGTGAAGGAATAAGAACATTCTCTTGGGATAARGGAGCATGACAACTGCCTTTTGCAAAGAACTACTTACTTCTTCTAAAGATCCACTGGGTATCGCAGACCGCACGATATCACACCTTAGTTTCCTCAAATGGAGAAGYTTCTCTCTGTAATCATTCACTGTCGCTGGCACAAGTTCTGCTTGGAGCAATATGGCAAACACTGACTGGAGGTCTGCTGTGCAATCACCCTGAGCAAACAAGTGAAATGTGTTTTGTTAAGCCCATCCTTTTCCCACTGTAARCAGTTTCAAAGCACAGAGATTCCCAGACACTTTGAACCAAAGAATAAAGACAAGGGACTTGTTCCCATCTCTACCATTTGGGGATCAGAACTCATCTATCTCGATAAAAAACAGGAGGAGGGATCCAAAGAGAAAAGACTGTCACGAGGAAGCAGCACAGCCAAAGTTTACACACAAAACAAATGGATTTGGAAAGTTCAAACTGCAGCCCTACCTCAGCTGGTGCAGGAAGTGGAGATTCAAAATGATTTAGAATCCGGACAGTCAAAAGTCGGACCTGTCAGAAGTGGAAACATATGTCAGAAGTGTATAGAGACATGCAGGCTACATACACACCTACAGAGAGGTGAATGTTTGACTCCAGAGGCTGCYTTTACTTGGTCTCTTTTGAAGCTGAGACCTAAATGACCTCCTATAAGCAGGTGATTCAGAATGAGAACATGGGGGTGCTGCTCTGAAACACCTTTAGGGAAGGGACAAGAGACAGGGAATCACCTTTAGGGAAGGGACAGGGCTAAAAGCCATCCTCTTGTCACCTCATGTARAGCTCTTCGAAATGTATTCAGTCCTAAACAGATGCTACAAAAGTAATTACTATACATAATTCTACAGGTTTGCTTTTGATCCTTGTCATATAACTCTGTTCACTTAAAATCACAGAACCATAGAATCCTTATGGTTGGAAGGGATCAAAATGAATTTAAAAATACATATTATCTTGCATGCACTCAGAAGCAAAGAGGCAGATTACCTTGGACACACCAGTGGAAATATTAGGGTGCAATTTCTCAAACAAGTCCATCAGGTTGCCCTGGGCAAGGGGCTCCTGGCAGCCGCACAAAGCCAGCCTTGTGTAATAGAGATCAGCCAAGAGCAGCGCCGAAGGGTCTGAAGGGAAAGTGCTAAAACAATAGAGGTTTATTAGCAGAGATAATAAAGATATCCAAAAGCAAGGCAATAATGACACTCTGGGAAAATTCCATAGGACTTCAGAGTTGGCTGGTGAGGTTGGACTTGACTAGCAAGCTGCCTTGCAGTCCCCAACTCCCAGTTACATATGTCAGTCCAAGAGATGTGACTCTGTCCCTGGACAGGGGCTGGCAGGCTGGCCCATACACACACGGTCACAGAAAACACACATCTGCATAGGGCTCACACAGGGGCTGCAGCTCTGGGGCTCGGAGATCAACTTCTAGACACAAGAAATAACCCAAGCTTTGGCATGAACCCAAGCTTGCGTGTGAACCCAGCTAATGTATGAGCAGGATCCTTGACTGCCACCAGAGAGACCTACCCCTGCTACCAACCATCCCTGACTCCATGCTGGCTCCGCATCCTGAGCCCAAAGCTGGCAGAGGGAACCAGGCTGCGTCTCCCTGCCAAGATTTTCTGCCTGGGCTGGGCTGGCTGTTTAACTGCCAGCGTTTCTCAGACAGGGGCACTGTGGTGTCCTAAGAACAGGATGTTTTGAAGTTCAAGCCCCTGCTGACTGGGAGATGTTTCAGCACGGCAGTGTTGGCAGATGATGCAAGTTAAGCCAGATTTGCTGGAGGGAGAGCAACCAGTTCCCTTGTTCCCTCCACCCACTCAGTTACATGTGCTAATTAGAAGGGAGTTACAATGCACATAATGGAAAGTACCAAGTACAGAGCATTTACATACACAGATATATACGGATGCAGAGGAATTTCCTTTTTTTATTATAATGCAACTTAGAGCTACTAAGCACATTCCTCTTTGTTAAAAGTAGGACCAGCAAATTCATATGCTTCCCTGTAGCTGTCCAAAAAAACTCCAGCTTGCAGAGAAAGTGCCACACAGGTCCAGCTGGCAGTGAAAGTGTCATGGAACAGGTACTACAACTACCCAGTTCTCTGTACAAGTGTTGCTTGCAACACTGCCATATTACAACAGTGAAGCAACATGCAGCTATTGCTCCCCACAAAAAGACACTTAACAAGCCCCTACATAAAAGTGACCATTTTGCTGTGACAAGGAACACCCAGGAGGATCACAGGAGAGTTTACTTACATCAGCAACTTCTTGACACGCTCCACAGGTAACAAATGGAGTATTTCAGAAGACTCTGCCAAACTAAGGAGGGTACTCACRGCTTGACAGGTCACAAAGAGGCTTCCTGGTCAAAGAGAATGAGAACAACCTGTGTATTTACTCAAGTCACAACGAGCTGTGGTTGCCTCGTGCTCGGCCACCTTCAGATGGCTGCAGTCACAGAAACACAGTAACACATGGATCTCAGAACAGGCATCAGCATATTCTAACAGTCACCATAACCCATAATAGAAATACTCCTCTGGATATCATCATCTTCACAAATGCCCATGCCAACCTGCTGCCAATGAAATCTGTGAGCAGCTTYCAGTTTGTGACTGACTCCAACACACCTATGTGCTCTGGGAGCAGGGCAGCTCCTGGAGCAACCTGGACCTAAACACTGTTGCAGAAGTTTCAGACAGCTCTGTGCTACTAATGGCACTCAGGAAGTGAAGAAAAACTGTCCAAAATAACAATCATGAAACACAGTAGAAAAAAGTGTGTGTGTGTGTATATATATATATATATATATATATATATATAATGACAGCACTGTACAAATGTCTATAAACTTTGGCACTTGGGCAATGTATTATATGAGATTTGCAAAGATGTCCCATATACCTGATGGCTGAATTCTTGTTGGAAATGAGTGAAAGTTATGGTGGCTAAAACAAAAGTAAGCAATAGTGTTACTTTCCTAAAATTCTCAGCCTACTTTGGACATGGAAGGTTTCCCTGTCTAACCGGTCTGCTCCTAGCAGCACAGCCAGCCAAGACCCTTCTAGGTAAGAAAGGGGAAGGGGGATTCYTTTCCCTGCCACTCCCAACTTTGCAGGAGTTTTGTTTACAAAAAAATAAATCTCCTTCCTCTCTTCCCTAGCACCTAAGGCACACAGGCTGAGAAAAGCTTTATAAAACAAGATAACTGTCTTTCATGCACCCAGCTGCCATGAAATAAAAAGAAGGGGAAGTGAAACTCACTTCCTATTTATTCTTTTGCAAACTTTTTTTCCCATTCCAAGTTGCTTAAACTCCCCGGGTACCCAAAGATTCCTGCTCACCATTAATCTCTTCAGGGAGCTTCTGAGAGGAGAAACTGAAAGACATCATAAGCAGGATAATGTTCCCTATGATTTGAGGGCAGAAGTTCTCAAGATGTAATCCACATGGCATTTTGCAGTGGTACATCGAGCCAGCCAAAAGCAGCAGCTCCCATCTCATTGTGGAACACATCTATATGGTCAATAGGATGAGCACCTCCATACAGGCAGTAAAGACAASAGCTGTACAGGTGCCTCGAGTAACACATGGCACTGTCCCAGTTCCCCAGCCTGTCTCCCTAAGCTCCACAATGTTTGCAGACCACTCAGGTCTGGGACTTTTATCTCAGGAAAYGGGCTAAACAAGCCAAATAGGGAGCATAGGGCTCGGGAGGCTGGATGTGCCCTGGAGTGACAACAGGAAGAGACAGGAGCCCCAGGACAAGGTGAAGGAATTGGAGAGACCATGGAGCCAGAGAGAGAAAATGCCAGAAGCTGAGAAAAATGTCCAGGAAGCTCGATTTGGGAAGAGTGTGAGAGAAACAGAGCAAAGAGACAAGAAGTAGGATAGGGCATCAGGWAGCAGGACTGGAGTTGTATTTCTTTTCTTCTAGGGGCAAATGAGCAAATAGCTCATGTTGACAAGAGTCAACAAAGAAAGTTCAGTTACTTTCACTGCGAAATGACTGCCTTGCAACTCAAATAATCACAGCCACATGAGGCCATTTACTGAGTAGGGAGAAAAAAAATGAATAGGGGCTAAATCGAAAAGGACCAACCCTGACAAAGACATGAAGAAGTAAAATAATGTGAAGGAAAAGTAACAGAGCCAGCTGGTGGGTACGTTTAGGAACATTCATAGATGATTTGTGAAAGGAAAACGTCAGGCTCTTGCGGAGCTCTTTCYGACCAAGAACACTGGAGACTGAAGCTAGGGCATCCCAAGGCCTGCTCAAACTTTGGCATGAGGCCAAATGCTCGTCATACCTCTGAGTAGCAACATTCCCGTATGCTGCAAGTTCAAATACCACCTTCTGGCCTGAGATGACAACCAGTGGGGTTACAGTGACTGACGTCTGCAGGAAGAATGTATCACTGTAGAGCTGTTGCTATCACTCATGTCAAAGAAGGTAACATCACACATCTAGTATTAGAGGTTCAAAGTAAGGTGACAGGATGAGCCAATATTCTCTCCTTTATGTGACCAGTTCAATCTGAATCAGTATTGAATTTTCAACATCTATTCTCTTACCTGCTTTTTTTTTCCCTCCAACCTTCTTTCTTATCTTCCTCAAACCTAGATTTTGACACTAAGTCCTCCACAACACAGAACATCTGCCAACTCATTTTGAGTATCAACAGCATATGCAGAGCTGCTTCCTTGAAGGAGTTTCTCRCTAGCTCTTCTAGTGTTACTCATTTTCATGCTCTGGGTTTTCAACAAAACTGCTTTGTATTTCTTTTTACATTCCAACAAAAAGCAAATGAGCAATAGCAACAGTATAACAGTAACTGACCTTTGCAGAGATTTCCTTTGTCAATGGCTTTGAAGAGAAAGTCTGTAAAACTTGTCACACTCAGCAGGATTTTCTCTTTGTCTATTGGTCTGTCCAAAATAAATGAGAAACTTTTATCTCTCTCTGTTACATTAACACCTAGAGGCATATGAAGGTTTACTACTCCTTTTTCTCATGTTATATCATACAGAGCTCATCTTGAGTTTTAAAGCAGCAGTAGACTATTTTTACTAGCTCATTTTTAATTTATAATTAACTTGTAGCATCTCATTTCCAATTCCTTCCATGCAAGGATATTAAACTTATTGAGAACAGCACTTCTCTGGGAGGAGGGAAAGCAACTGTAAACTGTGAAGAACAGTCCTCTCCACCAGGGTACTGAATCTAAGGACTAGAATCAAGAAACTCATTTTATTCCCAAGAACACCAGTAACTTGCACTATTTCCACAGCATCTTTTCATCTTTTGACCCCAGTTTCCCCAAACTGCAGTTAGTAATTACTGCAGTTCTCTTCCTTCTCTGTCCTTCTCTTGGCAAAACCTTCTGTGATCAATGGCAAATAATTTTATCTATTAACTAGTCAATACTACTGAAATACACAGCAATGGTACCTCAGACAGTAGGTATACACCTTACCTAATATGTGGCAGTACAACCAAGGCAGCCCAGGGCTGAGAAAGATCAGTAATATCTTCATTCTCTGGTAACTGGATTAAAGACAGCACATGCTCCAACACAGGCACCCATGTCCTTCCTCCTTGGCTTGTTTGCTGTCTAAAATTAGAGCTGAAAACAAACACAAATATTTTARTAACACAAAGTTGCACATCAGAGATTGTTTCTTTTCTTCTTATGACATTACAAATTAAATATGCTATTGCTAATAATAAGGACTTGGACATCCCAAGGGGATTTTTCTATTAACTCCCTCCACAGGACAAAAGACCATCCAGGCATATGAAAGCTGGGAGGAACAGAACATGGCCCAGAAGAAATGTCAGGTCTTTTATTTCAAATTCAAGAAATAGCTGTGGAAGGAAAAAACTCTAGTTGCTGGTCCACAGAAAATTTCTGATGATCAAAGCCTGTTACTTATAAAAGCTGGATGCAAAGAGGAAAAAATATATGGTTTTATACTTCTTGCAGATAAGTTATGCAATAGATTTAATCTGCTGCAAAAACGAAGTTAGTCCAGAAACTCAGAACTGGCAGAAGAAAAGAAGCTTTCTAACCACAAATGCATCAAAGCTCTGGAACAGACTGCCTGGACAGCTGGGGAATCTCCAGTATAGGAAGTATTTAAGAACAGGTTGATCAGACATCTTTCAGGACTGGTTCAGGACACGCAAACTCCATCCTAGATTAGAAATGGGCTATAGAGCATCTTGAGATCACTCCTAGCTCTATATTCTGTTACTGACATTACAGGAGCACCACAAAGAAGCCCCAAATAGGGKCAAGATTCTAACCACTACGTATTCCACATCACCGAAAATCCCCAAAACATCAATGGAAAATCCAAAATATCAAAAGTCAAAACTTCGCCATGAAAATAAGGAAGAGAAATTGAAATCTATCCTTTTGATACACACTCTTCCATTCCCTAAACCCTAATGCCTCCACTCTACTAAATAAAGCTAGAAAGAAACCCATAGAGTGCGTTTCTCCATTGAGAGCCAACAACCTTATATAAAAAGCAAAACAAATTGACACTCTCTGCAGGTGAAAGACCTGAATTACCAGAGTTACAGAGATCAGACCAAACATTACCAGCAATGGTTGTTCTGTGCTTGACAACAGTGACCCTAAACCTTCCCTCAGAGCCTCCAGGGGAAGAGCAACCACTTTACTGCAGCCAAGGCAGCTTTGCAAGCACAAGCAGTTGAGCTGTGCCAGCAGGGTACCGCATCGAGATTAGTTTGGTGGCTTTTGCTATCGAGCTGTGCTCTGTGTGAGCCCTTACTGCTCCCCTCTAAGTTTCCAGGCAAGACCCAGGCCTGCTCAAAAGGAAGACAGAGCAAAGGCAGGAGATCAGTACCAGCAAAAACCAGGACTATGCAACTCATTCGCTACAGGGATTAACTGCTCTCTGGTGCAGCACGTGTCTGAACAGAGCAAAATGCACAGTGCCCATCGCCTGCAATGCTTGCTGGCCTTCTCCATCAGTGCTAACCTACCGGGAGGACAGGAACAAAGAGAGTTGGAAAAAGAAGAAAGAGGGAAAAGAAAAAAAAAAAAACAGGTCCTGCAGCATCACTTTGTTTGAAGATCTACCAGCACCATTCTTGTTTATGTAACTCTGGCGACTACTAAGGGGTAACAGCTCTGCAGGCCCCAGCCTCTGGGCAYGGAGCCCTGCGGATACCTCTGCTCCCTGCTGAAATCAAGGAGTCTCACCTGGAGCATGATTCCATGAAAATGAGAGGATACTTCTCAAACGCCATTGAGCCAAGGGTGGGAGGCTCTGCTTTCGCCAGAATAAGTTTAGCCAAAACTGCCATGGCCTCATCCTTTGCATGGGGGTCTGTGCCAGCGAAGCAGCGCTCAATGTGCACTAGAAAGCACGGAAGAAAATGCTGAAGAGGGAAGGAAAACAAAAAATAAGGTTTAGTAAGTCTCTTTAACCCTCATTTGATTAAACCCCTGAGGAATCCAAGATAGCAACCACAGAGGAAGCCAAGCTTTCATAAATCAATGAACAAAGCATCAGTGCTGCAAGCTGTATCGTACCCTGGCAGGGACTGTGGTTTAATGTAAAAACTCTGTTTGCCCCAAATCCGGTGTCCTATATCCCTAAATTTGCCCTCACCTCCTGCTTCACTTAGCTATTAAATTCTTCCTAGATCACTGATCCCAGATATCCCTCATTCTTCATTTGTATTTTCTTTCTCAAGAGGTCCTTCACTTTATCCTAGCCATAAAAATCCACCACTTTTACCCTTACAGACAAATTTCTCTTTGTGAACACAGGTACCTGCCATTCTTTGCTACCTGAACTAAGTATTTAATCCCACTGTGACCCCAGCAAGAGACAAAAAAGGAAAGTTCTACCAGTGTGAGACTCAAAGTAGCTAAGAAAAACTTCTGCCCATATCTGAACTACACAGAAATGCACTTTTCCCTATCATTTTTTAGTGCAATAGCTTAAATAACTTCTTTCATTCTTATGAGATCGCACCACAGGTTTAAATATTAAAAGTCATGTCATCACACTAAAATGATTCAGCATACAATGTAGATAAATATACTCTGGGTCTCCCAGCTAGAGGTTTTGCTGTTTGGCTGTGCATGGCACTTCACACCCCTCCCTGTCATGTAGTCATCTGTCAACTAAAATAAACACAGAAAAATATCCACTTACCCTCTCAAATTGCTTCATTGAGAACATCACCTCAGAGAAGTCCAAAAGAAAGTGCCATTCAAACCCACTTGCAAATACCTGCACGGTGCAAATGAAGGGTTAATAGGAACATATTAACAAGAGACATTTCACAGTCAACCCTCTGTATCCATGGATAACTCTGCAGTTCTGCAACTTTGCCATTTTTTCTGGTTCATCAATCAACCTTGCTTTGGAGTCTGAGACACACAGCTTGGTTCTGGGCATCTAGCATGGTTTGTTAACTCAGCTTCACTCAGGAATGACAACTCAAGCAGAAGAAAAGTATATCCCTTTTAATAAATTTGTCTGGATCTGTCCAAAGACAGCCCACTTATTCTTGCCACAATCTGGAAAATGGAAGGTTCTAGGACACAGCAACCATTAGAAAAAGTCTAAGCCCAGAAGATTTTTCAGCCTGGCACTTTTCCTGTGCAGCTCCTAGGGTACGAATCTACCATACTTGGTTGCAGAAAGTTTACTACTTCAGGAGAGCCAACCTCTGTGCTTCTGAAGGAACCAAAATATGAATCCTCCTTCATGGTAAATAGTATCAGGTATTATTTCAGATATAGGGCAACTACTCCTTTGTCTGGGTAAAAAGGGAATCTTTATAGTCTGTTTCCCAGCCCAAAGTGGCACATCCTGAAGTTAACTCCATCAAATGAGCTGGGCTCTGAGATTTCTGCTGCAAGAAGCAGAAATCTTTACCTTCTCAATAGCTTCCTTGGTCAAGGCATCAGGCAAGAAAACATTCTCAGACAGGAGTAAAGCAGAAATAGTGTTCAGCAGGGTTTTGCAGCAAGATGCCGTCAGATCTGGAGTTTGCATCAATTTTATTAAAATCTGTGGAATTAAAGAGAGAGAACTGATTATTTTGTCTATTAAGACAACGATTGTCTGGTTTGAATGACCTGGACAGTCTTTGGAGACACAGGAGACTAGTGTTCTAAGCTCCAGCCCACTGAAATACATCCTAACAGCTCTGTACAAGTTTGAATGCATGTGAATCTGGTGGAACTTCTCCAGCAGGAAAGCGAGCAGGGCCTCGCACTCTTCCAGTGGCAGCTGGGCTCAACAAGACCTCTAGGAGCAGTGGCCCCATTCTCACGGTCAGTCGTTTAAAGGAGGACTACACCAGCACTACATGACAAAGGAAAACTCTCAGGGTTTGGAGAGGCAGCAGTTCTCCCAACAAATCTCTCCGTTCAACTTCACTCAAATTCTAAATCCACTGATATAGCAGGAATGTGAAGGAATGTTCTAACTTCTCATTCAGATTCAAGAGAGACCTCTCTGGGACATAAGCCAAAGGGATTGTCTGACCTACCTGACAGACTTCCTCGGGCCGTGGGATTTTGGATCCATTTGCATGTTCCACTAGGATGAGATAGGCTTCCAGAATCCTTTCCATCTGCTCTGAAGTTGCAAGGCAGTTAACCTTAGTTATTTTTCCCTGCAAATCTAAGAGTGACTCCTGTTTAAATAAAAAGTGAAAGTTTTCAGATAAATGATCAGTTTACTGACTTTCTGTTACCCAAAATGAATTTTCAAGAATCAATGTTTCATCAGTCCAATGAACTCACAAGTCCTGTTCAATAAATGAAACTCSCCAGAAACACATGATTCCCATAACATAAAAACAAACATCTTCAAGATTCCTTGGGCACAAGCACCTCCTCGGTTGAGGCTCTCCTTTGGAGCACACTACAAAACTGGGGAGAGGAAGAGCAAGAAACCCCTCTTCCACTGGAATTACCAGGATTTAAGGTATGTTTACACTGTTACACACAGGTATTTTGGGCTAATATGAATGCTCAGGAATTTCCAATATCACCTAATGGAGCTGCTCTGAAACACCTCTCTCCATCCAGAGAATATGAACTTGTATATTTGATGCTATAAACTGAACCCAATTTAGAGACCTATCACAGACTGGGAGAATTTCCCTCCTCTTAGGAAGACTAAGCTCAGCTTACCCAGTCAGTGACTTCCAAGGTGAAAACCAAGCTGCATTAGAAGTAAAGGGAACTACCTCATCACTTTCCAAGAACTCATTCCAGCTGCAAATAGCGAGTGACTCAGATCCCAGAGCTAAAAACCATCTAATGGCAAAGAAGTCTGTGGCTAATGACTGTCAGGCAAGAACTGCAACTATACTAGTGGAGCAGGAGGCACAGAATGGGGTTTTCTAGGGAGCTCTGGAGAGCCACATGCAGAGAACTCCAAGTACCACGCAAAAAGGACTATTTCCCAGTGCTGGGAGAGGCACCCCTACCATTTTCTCCAACTACTCATTTCACCCTTCTGATTTTTTGGAGAGCAAAACCGAGGTCAGTTCTAAAAAGTTTCAATTCAAATCCCTAGAAATGAAATACCTAGAAGTTGACCAGGTAAGTAAAAACACTTACAAGGCCCCTCATTCTGCCTCACCCTGACCCAGCACAGCACAGGGCAGTCTGAGGGCAGTCAGYCCTCAGAAGATATCCCCACATAGCAGCGTGGGAACAACCACGCTGAAACACATTTGCAGGATTTGGTTCTGAGGAGAAATTTAGTTCTCCAAATTCAGTCCAAGACTTCCAAAGCAGAAAGCTTCCCCTTCAGTACCACATTGCTTCAGGACCCCCAACAAACCTAGCTCAGCTGAAGACAAGRAGCTGCAATAACTCCCCACGCTGCAAGGACAGCTCCTGCGACTCCTCTTTGGCCAGCTTGGGGACTGAGCTCCCAGTCCTGCACGCAGCAGGTCCCTTCCCCCAGACAGCAGAGCASAGCCACCAAGGCCACTCTGAACTCAGAGCACAGATTTGTGTCTTTCATGTAGAAAATAAATAAGCAAATAAAGCAACATACCTCCAGGCACTTGTAGGCAATGTCAAAATGCTCCCTATGGATATGTCCTACAGCTGATTTGATCATTTGCTTAAATGCTTCTCCAATTGTCACCCAGGGTAGCTCAATTTCTGCTTCAGTAACAGGCCCCAGCTTCAACAGAATTAATTTCATAGCCTGAACAGGAAAAGAGTACATCATGTATATCACATGAAATGGGTGARTGCTTTGAAAATGAGTCTAGCAATCCTAAATTTAGTGTAATATACTGCTTTCTCTATATATTATAGTATTATTGTACTATAGTACTATATATATTATATATATTATATATTATAGAATATATATACTGCTGTGATCCAAAAACTCTGTAAAATGATTATTGCAAAACAAAAAACAAAAATAAACAGACAAAACTTTAAGCTAACACTTAAAATCTAAATTGTTTTTATATAATCTAGAGAGTACAAATTGCATATAGAATGGGCAAGTAGAATCGTCTTAACAGCTAGGAATATATYATAGGAATGACTAAAAAACAACCTCCCCATCTCAAAGAAGAGTTTTATAAGAAGGTATTAGATCCTGTTAAGTTACAGACAGCATGCTTATCGCTGAGGACCCATCGAGGTGAACAAGATGACACCCAGACACTCCACTGAGCACCACCCGCAGCTCCTTCATAGCTACACTTGTACCAGCAAATCTTTCTTCTCRTCTTTACCGTTTCTGCACAGGAGTGGAACATGTTTCGAACGCCCTTGCACATCTCGAAGAGCAGCTGTCCCACACCCTCTGCTTTCTCTGGGTGCTTCCCCAGGTCGAGGAACATGAAGTTGAAGAGTGCATTTTTATCAGAAACCTGCAAAACATAAAGGAGAAAAAAAAGTTATCTTTTATTTAGAGCTGCCAGATTAGAAGAGGCAGATGCCAGCACCACCTTTCTGTCCCAGCCCTGCCTTCCTGCAACGGTTCAAGCTCATTATTTCTGCAACAACCCAAAGAAATTTAATGAAGGAAAATAGTCAGCTTTCAATCACTGCAGGTTCCCCAAACACACAGTTCTTCTGAAACCACTGCTGTTGAAGTACATGCTTATGATCATTCTGATTATTTTAGAGTAAAGCATGTGCATAAACACATCATTAAGTTTGTCCTAACTGGAACACAAAGGTCTCTGTACAAGTCTGGGAGGAAATGTGCATCATCTGTATGCAGAATCCAGTCATCCAAAACTATAACCACACTTGGGAATATTGCAGGGGTTTCTGGACCAAGATTATGAAGYCCTTCTTTATTTGAGGACTTGAAGTTCAGCAATTTCTGGAAACAATCAACTGAACAAGTATATTCAGTTATTAAGGTCTCTGAACCCAAAACAAAGAGGGAGATGCTCAGATTTGCTAGTCAGTGTCAGGAATCCTGACATTATACATTTTAACTAAATGAAACAMGTACTATTGACCTCTGCATAACTATTGAGCAATACAGCACTGCAATACAGTCCAAAGCTCCCCTTTTGCAAATTACCTTAGGACTTCTAAGTTTTTGGTAAATCAGCTGTGATCATTTGGTTTCAATGCCCTTGAAACAGAAAACTCTAAGGCATTGTCTGCTACTCTTGGTATTAAGTGGCAGAGACTAAACACTTGYAGAAAAATGACAACTCAGAAGAGAGAGCTTGCCAGTTCAGGGGGCAAGGGCCATGGGCCACAACAACATGGAGACAGCCACGAAACAAACATCCCACTTACCTTTCTCATTAAGAACACAAAACTTTCAGCAGCAAAGTTTCTGATGTGAAGTTTGTGGTGAGCCAGTAGAGTACTGTACAGTCTACAAAGACACAAAATAATCCACTAATAAAGACAGCAGGAAGTGGTTGCAAAAGTTACATTTCTAGTTTACATTTCCCCCTTCTACAAACACAARGAACCTGTATTCCTAGAGATGGTAAATGGCCTTCCTCAATGCCACTCTTTCCTATGTTCCCTATGCCAAAGGCCCAGTTTTGGAGAGATGATCAAATGAGAAGATAACATGTTTAAACGTCAAGTCTGAGGACTTAGGTCTCAGGTAGGCATACCTCTAACATCCTGGATCCACCTGCAGCATCAAGACCTTTAACAGAAACACTCACCAGTAAGAGGTGAGACCAAACTTCATTTGATATACCAGAATCATTTCACTTGTGTTTGAGGGTTTCCTGTGCACGCAGAGAGATAATTTAAAGGGGCAATGGATATTTGTAATTCTCTAGTAAACATCAGTAGTAACTGCAGGTGGCTCAGCACATGTAAAGTGCAGAAAGATTTGTGCCTTGGATTCACAGTGGGGCAGATGTTCCTGCAAAAAGCTTGAAAGCTTTTGCTGAGTCGGAAGTATCTCACACCCATCCTTTCCTCCATCTGTTCCCTATTGAAACTAGTAGCAAGCAACACAGATCCACAGGCCAAGAGGAGAAAAGACCTGCTGTCACAGCTGCCTAAGAGTGAACAAGCAGTCCCACTGGGTCACACTACAGCTCCATCCATCCCAATAACTGGTCAACAGCAGTCAGAAGCAGATGCCTGAGGAAGGGTTTAAAAACATGGCAAGCACATATAAAACCAGCCTCCAACCATCTGCAGCTCAGGCTTCCCAAGACAGAAGTGGTTYCTATTATGCTTGATAATTCCTTCAAACTAGGCCAGTTTCCCTTTGAGCTTGCGCCAACCTTCAGAATCCACAGTATCCAGTGGCAAAGAGTTTTATCTCAAAATAGTGCACAACTCATTTGCTCTCTCACTAAACAGACAGGAGGAGGGAAGAATAAAAGAGGTAAAACCCTGACAAAGTAATCAGAGAAAMGACGCAAAGGAATTCATTTAACAGCTCAAACCTTGGGGTCTGCACCTGGGAAAGAAAGGAAGGATGAAAATATGACCAAGCTACTTGACAGGTATCAAGAGACTTGTGTTCAATTTAGACTTTGTCAGAGGCTTTCAAAATGACTCCAACAACCCACTGTCTGTCTGAGTTTTGCTTTATCAGTTGAGGAGGAGGCTTCCTCTTGCACATCACCTGCATCCACCACACCAGGAGAAAAGGTGATCAAAGGCCCAAGCTTTCAGACTACCTCACAACCCTCCTTCAAGGCAGTGGTTGTTCAAGGGGGCTAAATATGAGAATAGGACTCAAAATCTGTCTCTGACAGCAAGGAAAATGTGTTAAACATTCTACCGAAGCACTAAGCCATATGATTAGAAGCCACTTACACTCCCACAATATGCAATAACTGCTGATGAAGACAGCATACGCTCCTTACCTGTATATGTTGCGTATGTCCTTCACCATCAATCTCCACAAGTATTTGTAGAGATAGGAAAGAGAAGTAAAAGCCCATTCCAGCAGTTCTGTGTCCTGTGTATCCAGTAAGTTGGTGATGGCCAAGAAAAAGTCATGAAAGTGAGGATAGAAGTCAGCCTGGAGATCTCGAGCCAGTTGCACCACTAGGCTGGGTTTTAGACAGCACATCAATATTAGTGTATTTTTTAAAAAAAACTAATAACAACCTTATAAAACATTGCATCATCAGACTCTGAGCTCTGTGTTCAACAAAACACTGGCACTTTAGAAAGAAACATAGCATTACATTTGCTTTCTATTTTTATTAAATCTCTCCCGCTATTTTATTATTAAATATCTCTCATTATGCAGCTGTGCTATTTTATAATGGGAAAAAAAAGAATCAAGATGATAATAATAAACATGGAGTCACAGATGATATAAACACTAACCAAAATACATCAGTATTCTGGCTGACACTCAGTAAGCACTCATTGTAGTTTGCTTGCCTTGTAGTAGCTAATTATCTAAAGACAAATATTTAAAAACATGATGCTCTATCAAGAAAATACTGCCAATGTGGGCATCTTATGGCTACACCTCTTTCCTCATGTAAGATAAGCAAAAAGGGCACTCAGGACAGCAATCACTTTTACCCTCTAGTACTGCCAAGGCTTCTTGGCTATATATTATCAGCATGTACTTACTCTAGCAGGGGTTGATAGGCAAGACTGCCTTTGACTTGCAAATGTATCTTCAAGCTCTGCACGATGGCACTCTGGTAATAAACCAGCTGGTTGAAGGACTGGCATTTGTTGGCTACTTCTTTGTAGAACTGCACTGTTCAAAACACAGAAAACAAATGCTCGGATTTAGAGTCCAGTTGCTGGTAAACACATAGAATATTAAAGAAAAATAGGTCCCCAGAGCCCAATCCAAAACCCAGTAAACAGAAGGACTCCCAGTAGTCTTTGGTTCCATAGGAAATGTCTTTTAACACTTCTAGACAAGCAAGAAAATTCTTAAATAAAAATGAGGTACCAAAATGCTGAGTGAGGTTCAATTCCCTCCATTTCTGCAGTGCTTCAAAAAAGTAGGTTTCAACCTCCTGTCAAAATAAAGAACGAAATTAGCTTGGCAACCCCAAAGAATGGTTCAAATGAAGAAAACAATCAATTGTCTCAAATATTTTCTTTTTTTAAAGAATTCTGACGACTTCATTTCAAAAGATGCTCTGGAATCTGCCTGAAAAATGATATTTTTCTTTCGATTCAAGAACACATTTGAAACTGTTTTCTAGTGACAGGAATGCTTTTTAGACCTCTGTTGACTGGCCTTGATATCCTAACACAGTAATGCAAGCCCTTCTAGCCCAAATGCTTTGAGATTTCTTTTGGCATCCTCACAGCCTTTGAGCACAAAACTCAGCACAACTATACAGCACACCAGGAGATAATTAACCTACCAAGCACCGTGATCACAGTAATGAGGTAAAGGACACATACAGGTGATGTGTTTTATGGTATCTCAAGATGCAGGCTTCRTATACATTCATATACTGTGCAGGGCTGGATTGAGGGGCGCTAACAGCCAGGGCAGCATCCTCCCTGCTGGGAAGTACCCAGCAGCTGACCAGCTACATGGTGCGATCAGGATCCTGCCCTCAAGAAACCTCTAGCACATCACCGTGAAGCAGGCCAGCTTGCAAAAGGAAACAACACAGGATACGAGGCTCCAGGAAAGTCAACTCTTCTATATGCTTCTTTTCAATTCCTCCCCATAAGATTTTTTTTCAGTCTTTCATGAAGTTTATCTACTTGGGAAGTGATCTGAGATCTTCTTTCAGAAAAAGACATTGCTGCTGCTCTCACCTCAGCATAGGTTCCAGTTCTGTCAATCCGATGAATAATATCGATATTAACATTGCTTAAGCGTTCCGAAAAGGTAAGAAACTGTAAAACAAAAGGACATGCGTTTTGTTTGGCTCTYTCCTGCAAATGGTCCTTCTAAATTACTCCCAGTAGCACATGCAGCACAAACTACAACAAAAATTACTTCAAGAAATGGTCTAGCAGAAAGTATCAGAMAAAAAAAGGAGGACCTGTAAACAGTTCTATCAGAATCTTACCACAAATATTAATAAGCAGAGATTCTTTTTAACTGAAGAGGGTAATAAAAAAAAAATCCCACCCACAACTAGACAAATAGACAAAATAAAAAAAAATGACACCTACAAGTGAGAACCACATCATTCCACAAATTAATAAAAACAACCTGCTCCTCTCCTCTCCTGTTCAAAACAAACATTTGTACCTCACCACTCAGGGCCCACTCAGTAGGTGTGCCTCAGAAACAGGGAGATGCACAGGAAAATCTATCAGGAGTTCTAACAGTCTGCATTCTTTTTTTAAAGAAAGCATAAATTTAAACCACAACGGATCCAGTTTATTTAGGTCCAGCTTTCAGTATCAGACCTGCAGCAGGCCTGGCGCACAGCGTGATTTACACACGTGGAGGGCTCTGCAAACTGCAGTGCGGGAGCGCAGGAAATGACCGCAGCTTATCAAGCGAAAATTCGTACTGGGATAAAGAAAGAGAGAAAGAGAGATGCCAAATCTCACGAACGCCGCGTTAAACGGCGGCTTCCTAAGGGGAATACTCGGGACGCCGCCTGCAGCCGGGGGGTCCCTCGCGCCCCGCCGCCCCTCGCGCCGGCCCCGCGGCTCGGCTCGGCTCGGCTGCCGCCGCGGGCCGCTCACCCGGTGCGTGTTGTCCGCCTTGCGCGCGGCCGCCCTGCCCGCCATGGCCGCCGCCGCTCCCCGCACGTGCTGGCCTAGGCGCCGCGCGCCGCCATGGCGGCCCCCATGCCGGCAGCAGGAGGCGGGCCCGCCACCGGAAGGGCGCGCGAGGGGCGGCCCGGCCCGGCCCGGGGAGCGGGGGAAGGCGCTGCTGGCGCCGCGGCGGCCGCGCTGCGCCCGGGGGAGCGGGGAGGCACCTGCGCCCGGCCGCGACACCGGCTGCTCTCAGCCTGCGCCCGGGGGCACCCGGGCCTCGCTCACCCCGCGCCGGGGAGGGGGACGCCAGTGTCCCTGGCCCTGCGTTGGCGGGTGGCAGCGGCAGGTTTGGGGATGCCCCCTGGCACGGAGGGCTCCAGAGCTTGCCTGGGTAGGAAATGAGCTGGTGGCACATGAGGTTTTAGGCCGTACCCGGGGGCCTGGCCTCCACCATGTTTGTGGTGGTTGGTCTGCACGCCGCACGGTGCCACCAGGACGTGCCGGGCTGGCCCGGTTTTCCAGGGGTGCAGCCAGGCACGCTGGGGATGTGCAGCCACMCCCCCACCCGGGCAAGCTGCTCTGCAGCCCCAGCAAGGTGGCCCGGTGGCTCCTGGCCCCGCAGGGGACCCGTCACCTTTGCCAGCTGCACCTGGGAGACATGACGTTACTGTGGCCCGGCTCCCACCCGTGTGAAGTTTTGTGTCCTCTGCCCTCCGCRACCCTCAGCTCCAGTAGCACCTGCATGAGGGAAGGTAGAGCCAGGGAAATCCCGTCGTGGATGAGCTCTCCCGATAAGCACTGATGGCCAAGCTAGAAACCACACAGCTGCTCACAGCCCAGGTTTTAGTACASATTTTCACCCAGAACTCAAAAAAGCTCATCCCAGACCCACAAACTCGGGCCTTGCACAAGAGTAAATAGTTACAGACTAATAATTGCTCACCACTGCACTTACTGAAGTACCAAGGCCTGCAGGAAATTCTGTGGCTGCAGTTCTGGGAGGTGGAGGATGCAGATGGGGGAGAGGGAGTGGATGRCAAGCAGGCTGAAGCTTTGCTTTGGGGAGATGCATCAGGTGTGTATGGCTCTGAGCCACACAACCATTTCAGAGTGTGCCTAACAAGTCTTGGAGTCTGTCTGCATCTRGATTTTGCCTGTCTTCCCTGTTACAGGCAGCTCAAGGCTGCTGTCAGGAACCACRCTTGCAGTTTGTTCAGGCAGCAAGTCACCAAGTTGGTTTTGGGCACAGTTGAAGTGCACTCTTGGAAGCATGCAGGAACCCACTGCTTTGAACAGACCCAACAGGTTAAGCACTGGCAGGTGTGCCAAAGGCAAGGGCTCACAGGCAGGCAATAAGCCGTTAGCGTGGTAGCCATCTGGACAGGGAGCAGGGAATGCTCCTATGCAACTTTCCCTTCCTTTGGTGAAAGAAAAAGCTCTTGGGGCATTTGCGTTAAGTGGGAAGAGAATGTTTAATGTAGGCTCTTGCATTTGAAGAAGGTTCWTTTTAGTGCTTTCAACCCCAAATAGCTCCGTGAGAAGGTAAAGCTACAAGCACGTAGACTGGTCTAGAATCACAGAAGAACTTGGCCATCCATGTGCGTTACATGCACAAGTACCTTTGTGGCTGTGGTTAATAAATTCACTTTATATATCTTCTTCATGTTGTTAATTTGGGAAAAAAACACAGTCCACAAGATCTTATACTATGATAGGCAGTACCTTTTAGAGTTGTAGAGCTTTCCGGGGTGCATGTGCTGCAAAATCCTCCAAGGAAAAAAAAAAAAAAAAAAAAACCCAACAGCAAAAAAAGAGCTCTAATATTTGTGGAAAACAACGAGGAGAAAAGCTCGGATGTGCTTTGCCTGTTGAAGAAGTTAGCAGCCAGCATAAAAGATGTCAGGGGAAGGTTTTAAGAGTTACAGATGCTACTTTATGTTTGTCATCTGGCAACCTCCCAGTCCGGAGGGTGAGACTCTGGTAAGTGTGGCAACTGCTGATATGTGTGGGAACTTTCTCCAGCAAGAACTGTTGATGGACTGCACATCAGTCAAGGCTGTGGATGCACCTCTTGGAGGTGTTCTGGAGTTAGCTTCAGAGTGACCTGGCTGCTGATGCTAGGATGGCCATGACAGTAAGGCTGGCGCTGCAGCTGGTGCAATTCAGTGCCCCAGGAGATCCCTCACTTACATTTCTGCAGTGTTACAGCTGTGTTGACAATGTTCCTTCTGCTAGAGCTCTCGTGCAGGCTGCCAGCCCCACTCCGATGCGATGCCTGCAGCATCAGGCCCTCTTCCTTTGCTTTTCCAGGAAGAGAAGGTGGGGCTGCCCCTGCCTCTGGGAAGGCCTCAGGCTCCAGCATCTGGTGATCATCCAGCAGGCCCAGCTGTCCACAAATCTCTCTTGAGAATCAATGCTAATGTCACGTAGATGGCCTTTGGAGAAGCAATGATTTAGTGATAATAATAACTGCAGAGGCCCTTAGAGGAAACTMCCATGAAGCAGCACATGCTTGTCTATGTATGCTGACCTGACTTCTTTAAATGTTCCCTATAGGTCACAGCCACCTGCTCCTGATAGTAATCCATCATAGTATCCTTTCCTGGATAGTAATCCATAGTGATCCACCTTTCTGGAGGTGTTCTAAGTTTTTTGTATCTTATCAATTCCTCCACTTTCTGGTCCTGCTGCCCAAAATTTCTTTGCTGACATCAACAGGAGCCAGAGACAAAGGCTCTGTGCAGATCCAAAGGGTGCTCTCCTGCCTTGTCAGCTGGAAATGTGGAAATATCCCTCTCATAGTATATATCTCAGTAACTACATACATGTGCAGCATTCAATGCATTGCAGAATGGTCATATTTTCATGTGTGTTGCTCACCAGCATCATACACATTCCTGAAGCCCCCACAACACTGAGTTTCTAACCTGAAGAACATGCATCTTGTGTAAGTAAAAGAATGGACAGATTACTGAGAGACTGGTTTCCTCCAAGGGGGAAGCTGGCCCAAGGGCTGAGGAAAGGTTATGTTTAGCCACAATATCTTGGGTGTACTCTTTCAACTGAAGTAAACAGATTCCTTTTTAAGTCGCCTGGAAAGTAAGAAAAGGCCTTCTGAAACACAATGACATGTTTTCCTTGCCAGTTTCCTTCTCGTCGTCTAACTGGCATTTTGCCTTGCCTAACAGGAGAAAACCCCGCAGAACTGTGTACAAGGTGATCCAGAGCACTTGCTAAAAACAAAACAAAACAAACAAACCAAAAATACCAACAAAAACCCACAAGATACTGTAATCCAGTCCTGCAAATTGGAGGAATTAATTTGTGTGTTTTACTACATTTTTTTTTCTACAGTGCCTGAAGCACAAAGATTCTGCATGTCATCCAGTTCCAGGTCAATGCTAGATGAGTTCTAGACTTTACTTACCCACAGATTTGCAGTGTAGTTTTCGACTAAGAGCTAAAATACAGCTGCGTGAGAAGGGGAAAACATCCATGACTTAAATATCCTGAACTTAAGGCCTTTCATCAAGAAAGGTGGCACTGGCAATGTGATTAAGATCTGTGAGATGTCTAGGCCAGTGACTCCTCTATTGCCAGCCAGAATCCTCTTGTAGATCTGGAGCAGGTGGGACGTACCATCTATACCAATAAACAGCGCCAGAGCAGAGGGATTCATCTAGAGTGATTGATAATGATTGTTTTGATTGTTTTATCTAGTGCTATTGCAAGGTTTCTGCCCAGTAGGTAGCCCCATACTGTTTTTTYGCTTGTTTATTTGAGCAGAGGAAGAGAGCTTCAAGGGTAATTTGTGCTGGAAGGAAGAAGCATCTGATTTCTGCACGGAGAACATCAATACGGATGACGGTGAGACACAGAGCCACTGCTGCTCTTCCTCGTGCTATGCACAGTGACAACAGCAGCCTTGGTTTCACCATGGCACTCTAGCCCCTACTGAACAGGCGCTAACCTCAAGAGGTCCAATTCGCTGTCCTGTCCACAGCTACCTGCTGCACAGAGGTCTGCATTTTATAGGCAAAGGAAAAAGAGAAGTATCTGCAGGGTGCCACATAGCTCACCCTGAAGGAGATGAGATACCCATCAGTTAACAGGTGCTCCTCAAGTGCCTGTAAAAAACAAGATGAAATGAGTCGCTCTCAAATGGTGCTCAGCTAATGCTGCTGTTCAGATATGTAGCCACAACCAAAGAGCTTCAGTAGTTCTAGCTCGACACTTTCTCATATTCAAGCATCATAATGCTGACTGAACAAGCAAAATACAAATATCATGACATGCCATTCCTACCATTAACCCCTCTAGGTCAAATCTGACATGTCACATTTGATGTGTCAAATCTGCACCATTCTTTTGTGCATCTTAGAAACACATTGCAATTATTATTTCTTTGCCTTACTCCACATTCCTTACTTTCTTCAAAAACCTAGCAGTGGGCCATTTGAATACATATTAACACTGAGAACCAACACATAGCATAATATAGACGTTCACTGAAAGAGTCCCCATGTGYCTGGATGAGTGAAGTCACACATTTACAGCCGGTACAAGTAGGCATAAACCACTGCCAAGCGACAGTGTGTGTGTGTAATCTTCAGCAGGGGCATCCTGGACAGAGGAAGGACTATGAGGATCGAAATGGGAGTTAAAGCAGGGGTGAGGGAGCTGCCTCCTGGTGAGACTGAGCCCATGGGAGAAAGTGAATGGGGAAACAGCAGGGCTCGGGGAAAGGCCTCTCATACCTGGACACCCAAAAAGCAAAAGGGTATGAGGCAGGAGAAGGAGATTTATTAAGGTAAACGAGATTGGGGGGAAAAAAGGGAATAAAGGAGACCACAAGGATTTAGCTCTAGGAACTACAGAGAGGACAGGTAACAAGGGAGATGTCAGAAAGGGTAAAAGACACTCCTGAGTATGAATGGAAGAATAAACCAGAATGAAGAGCTACTTAGTACACTGGGACAGTGTCAGGGAATATTTTCCAGACTACTTTTAAGTGCCTAAGTTGAGAGGCTCATTCCC